AGGTTTATCAATTTTGCTTATGTTTTCAAAGAACTAGATCTTGGTTTCATTGCTCTTTTCTATTTTTCTTAGACTCTATTTTGTTTATTTCTACTCTGATCTTTATTATTTCCTTTCTTCCACTAACTTTGGGATTTGTTCTTTTTCTAGTTCTTGTAGGTGTAAAGTTAGATTATCTGAGATTTTTCTTGTTTCTTGAGGTAGGCCTCTATCACCATAAACTTCCCTCTTAGTACTGCTTTTACTGCATTCAAAAGAATTTGAACCTGTGCTTCCATTTTCATTTGTCTCCAGGTTTTTCCTCTGTGATTTCTTCACTGATGCATTGGGTTGTTTAGTATGTTGTTCAGTCTCCACATATTTGTGTGTTTTCCCAATTGTTCCCTTGTAATGACTTCTAGTTTTATAGCATTGTGGTTGGAAAGATGCTTGACATGATTTCAGTCTTCTTAAGTTCATTGAGACTTGTTCTGTGGCCTAACATGTGATCTATCCTGGAGAATGTCCCATGTGTACTTGACAATATGTATTCTGCTGTTTTTGGATGAAATGTTCTCTATTTATCTGTTAAGTCCATGTATTCTAATGGGTTGCTCATAAGCCACTGTTTCCTTTTTTTTCTGTGTGGAAGATCTCTCCATTGATATAAGTGTACTGTTAAAGTTCCCTACTATTATTGTATTACTGTCAATTTTTCTCTTTATGTCTGTTAATATTTGCTTCATATATTTAGGTCCTCCTTTGTTGGGTGCATAAATATTTACAATTGTAATATCCTTTTGTTGATCTCTTTATCATTACATAATGCCCTTTTTTTGTCTCGTTAGTCTTTGTTTTAAAGTCTCCTTTGTCTGATATAAGTACTACCCAGTTTGTTTGCTTCTATTTGCATGTCTTTTTCCATCCCTTTCTTTTCAGTCAGTATCTTTAGGTCTGAAGTGAGTCTCTCGTAGGGAGCCTATAAATGGGCCTTGCTATTTTACCATCCAGTCACCCTATCTCTTTTGACGGGAGGATTCAGACCATTTACATTTAAATTTTTTTTTTTTTTTTTTAAGATTTATTATTTGAGAGAGAGTGAGTGAGGGTGAGCACACAGAGGGAGAGGGAGAGGGAGAAGCAGACTCCCCACTGAGCAGGGAGCCCGATATCTGAGCCGAAGGCAGACGCTTAACCGACTGAGCCACCCAGGCGCCTAGACCATTTACATTTAAAGTAAAGTATCAGTAGATAGGTATGTACTTATTGCCATTTTGTTGTTTTCTGGTTGTTTCTGTAGTTCTTCTGTGTTCCTTTCTTGTGCTGATGACTTTCTTTAATGTTATGCTTAGATTCCTTTCTCTTTATTTTTTGTGTATCTATTATAGGTTTTTGGTTGGTGGTTACCATGAAGTTCATATGTAACACCCTAAGTATATAGCAGTCCATATGAAGTTGATGATCCCTGCAGTAAAAACACATTCTAAAAGCACTACATTTTTACTTTCTCCTCTATGTTTTATGTATATGTCATATTTTATGTCTTTTTATTTTGTGAGTCCCTTAACTAATTTTTTTTTTTTTTAGATATAGCTGATTTTACTACTTTTGTCTTTTAACCTTCATACTAAGCTTTATAAGCAACTGATCAACTATCTTTACCATATGTTTGCTCTCACCTGGGAAATTTTTTCATTTCATTATTTTCTTATTTCTAGTTATGGCCTTTTCTTGTCCCTTTAACATTTCTTATGAGGCTGGATTAGTGGTGATGAACTCTAACTTTTGTTTGTCTGGGAAATTCTAGCTCTCCAATTCTAAATGATAATCTTGCCAAGTAGTATGTTGGTTGTAGGTTTTTTCCTCTCGCACTTTGAATATATCATGCCACTCCCTTCTGGCTGCAGTTTCTGTCCCAAAATCAGCTGACAGTCTCATGGGGTTCTTCCTTATATATAACTAGTTCCTGTTCTCTTACTGCTTTTTAAGATTGTCTATCTTTAATATTTGACATTTTATCTTGGTGTGGTCCTATCTGGGCTCATTTTATTTGGGACTCTCTGTGCTTCCTGAACCTGGATGTATGTTTCCTTTCCCAGGTTAGGAAAGTTTTCAACTATCATCTCTTAAAGTAAGTTTCTGCCCCTTTCTTTCTCTCTCCTCCTTCTGAGACCTCTGTAACGTGAATGTTATTATTCTTAATGTCCCAGAGATCCCTTAACCTATCCTCATTTTTTAACATTCCTTTTTCTTTTTGCTGTTCAGCTCGGGTGCTTTCCATTACCCTGGCTCTAGATGGTTGATCCGTTCTTCTGCATCCTCTAATCTGCTGCTGATTCCCTCTAGTGTATTTTTCATTTCACTAATTGTATTCTTCAGCTCTGATTCTTTTTATATTTTATATCTCTTAAGTTCTCACTGAACTCACCCACTCGTCTCTCAAGTCTGATGAGCATCTTTATGACCATTACTTTGAATTCTTTATCAAGTAGATTGTTTATTTCTGTTTCATTTAGTTCTTTTTCTGAATTTTTTTGTTTGTTTAGAGCACATTCCTCTGTCTCATTTTGTTTGACTTTCTGTATTTGTTTCTTTTTCTTTTTTTTTTTTTTTTAAGATTTTATTTATTTATTTGAGAGAGAGAGAGAATGAGAGAGAGAGAGCATGAGAGGGGGAGGCTCAGAGGGAGAAGCAGACTCCCCGCTGAGCAGGGAGCCTGATGTGGGACTCGATCCCGGGACTCCAGGATCACGACCTGAGCCGAAGGCAGTCGCTTAACCAACTGAGCCACCCAGGCGCCCTTTCTGTATTTGTTTCTATGAATTAGGCAACAGAGCTACCTCTCCCAGTCATGAAGGAGAGGCTCTGTGTAGGAATGTCCCTGTATAGACTACATGTGCCTAGCAGCTCTGGCTGGCTGGTGGTAGCTGTAACAAGTGTGAGCTGAGTCCTAGGGTACGCCATGCAGGGATGCCCTGGTAGGATGGCTGGAGCTGTAGTGGGTATAGGCTGAGCATGCACTAGTGTGCACTGCACTGTGGGCCACCTTGCTGGGATGGCCGGAGCTCAGGTGGGCACAGGTGCAGGGGGCTCTTTTGGAAGAATGGCTGGAGCTGACGGAGGGGAAGAGGTGCAATTCTTGCTGAGAGGGCAGGCTGGCTAGAGTGGCTAGACTCTGCTCCCATTTATGCTAGGTGGGACAAGGTAAACATAGCGCTTTGCACTTCTGACCCCAGAGAGAGTTCCAGCAGTTTTCCCACCATTTGGTAGATGCCCTAGAGTTGGTATATGGGTTTTCTTCACTTATATTCTAGTTGCCCTTTATTTTATTTTTTAAAAAGATTTTTATTTATTTATTTGAGAGAGAGAGTAGGGGTCGGGCAGAGGGAGAGGGAGAAGATGACTCCTCACTGAGCAGGGAGCCCAGTGTGGAGCTTAATCCCAGGACCCCAGGACCATGACCGAACTGAAGGGAGACGCTTAACTGACTGAGCCACCCCGGCACCCCACTAGTTGCCCTTTAAATCACAGCTTTTTTGTGGGGGGTGGGCAAATCTGTGCATGGGTCCCTCAATGCTCTCTCTCCCCTCTGCAGTTCACAGTGTAGGGGGTGGGGGTCCCATGGTTACTGTGTCTCCATCTCTCCTTCCAATCTCTATGTGGTCCTTCCATCCTTTGTTGTGCAAAAGCTGTTCAATCAGCCCTCAGTGCTTCAGGAGGAATTGCTCTATATGTAGGTGTAGATATGGTATGTCCATGGGAAGAGGTGAGTTTAGGTTCTTCCTATGACACCATCTTGGATCCCTTCCCTTGACACATTAAATTTAAGGAAAGGCTTCCATCTGCGCGTTCTACTGTTCTACCTTTCCTTACTTTTTATCTCCGTGAAAAATTTCAAATTTATATAGAGAGAATAGTAAAATAAACCCTCATGTTCTTATCCTGCTTCAAATTGTCAAGACCAATCTTATTTCATCTATTCTCCACCTACCCTCCATCTATATACTCCTTCCTACACTCAGCACATAAGTACTGGATTATGCTGAAGTAAAACAGGAACCTTTTTATAAGAAAAATTCTAGTTTTTGAGAGACTGAAAAGGTTATATTAAAGCAACTCATTCAGAGTCTGGAAATACCCACTTCGCTTATTTTAAGGAGCTAGGCTATGCCATTGTTTTCTTTATTCCTTTACTCAATTAACATCCAAATGGCATCCAGTATTTTAACCACTGCTTACTGTGACAAATGCCCTAATCTCACTTTGGCTCTGCTGTAATAATAGTTCACTGCATTCCAGCTAACTATGTTTAGGAACATTTAAATTAAAAAACAAACAAACAAACAAACCCATGAAGATACAGTTAGTCCTAATCACTTTATATTTAAACAAAAATGAAGTGAGGAGAAAAGGATACTGAGACTGTGCAAAGTCTTTTAACGAACCAAAGAGTTAGTAACATACCTATTCTTTCTTGTTCTCATTTCTCTCTTTATTTTAATTCCTAAAGTAAAAGAATCCACACACATATTTTGACATACCTTAGTTTCACGTGCATACAAATCTGATTATCAATGATATAAAATGATAGTAGGTAATAATTTTCAAAAATCATTCGTTTGAAATTCAGAGTATTGTGATTATACAGAATTATGCATAAATTAAACAGAAGGCTCACGAAAAATAAATTTTCCTAAGGTATTGTTCTCATCAGTTACCTAAATTTTAAAGAGTACCAAGTTTTGCACCTGATTATTTTTTCCTAAGACTTGCTATTTTAGGAGTATATAATGAATCCTAAGGATATGCATTTTACTTTTAAAGAGCTAAGTACATTAGACTTTTGCATCCTCCCCCATCCCCAGCTTGTAAGTGAAAATAAGCAACTATCTTCCTAATGAATTCATCCACGAATGCCAAAGTTTGAAGCACTTCTAGAGTGGAAGGTTGCTAAAAACAGAATTTTCTAAAATCTTGCTTTTTAAAATGTAATGGTTTTCACACTTAATGAGTACACTAACCTTTGGGTTTTGGTGGCACAGGACCTACAAATCCAATATTGTCATAAAAGTTATGAATAGCGCTGGGATTAAAATGTGGTCCTGAAATATATAAAAAGTAAATATATCAATGTTTATAGCTCAAAAATATTTAATTTTATTTTTTAAAAAGCTAATATTTTCTTTCTAAAAAAGATCACAGTATAAATAGAAGAAATGCTTTTATTTATTTTGCACCTCTAATCTTAACATATAAAGATTTGACATATAAAGATGTCAAAACAGTTGAGGTAGGTATAATACAGTACTCACAACAGAAGTCTAAGTGGTAAATGGAGGAAGAGGTCAAATTAAACTGTTAGTAACACAGTAACAGAATTACAACTAGACCACTGTTCTATGTGACAAGTTAAAATAACTTAAAATTTAACAATTTAAAATATAATTTCAAATGATCAAACATGGTCTTAAGCAACTAAATACCTTGGCCCCAAATAAGTATTAAAAACCTTGCACTAATTTAATATAATGGTTCAGATGACAAAAGGAACAAGTTCAAGAACTGTAGTTGCTAGACCAATACTTTTAAACTATGGCATCTTCAGTGAATGTTTCAAGATACATGATATATTAAGGTTTTAAAAGAAAATACAACATTATAATCTTTCAGTTTGATGGATTTTCGGCACACACTTAAAAGAGTAATTAAGGACTTTTTTGTTGGCTTCCTTCTCTTATCCTGTCTTTTCTATTTCATATATTTCTATTATTTCCCTAACTTCAGAATTAGGTTTAAGTTATAAAATTTCCTTTTAGTTGTCTGTGGAACTGAATTAAATTGTCAAGATTTTTTGCTACAATAACCAAGTACTGCTTATCACTAATAGCTCAAGCTTCCTAATAAGCTATCATTGTTCTAAAAATGTATAAGCCATATTTTTATTCCCTTCTCTATTTTATCAATTAAGATAGTGCCATTAGGGTGGGGATGTCTTTTTAACTATGATCTTAAAAGCATGATTCTTGAAAGGTAAAAGGAAAGAAGGGAAATAGGAAAAAGACATGAGTACCTATATTTTAACCAATATTAAATATTATACATGCTACTAATATATTACAGCAATACTTTTGACAATACAGCCATACTAATCATTGTCTTTCCTTAACACGAGACTAAAGCAGGTTTGAATAATACAAATTTTATCAAATTATTCATAAACCAAATACATAGTTTCTTCTGGAAGAGGGGGCAGGGAGAAAAACCCAATAGTTTTTTAGTACTTTCTGGCTCCAAAGTCAAATCTGAGACAATAAGATTATAACTGATAAGTTTGTTTTCAGCCACAGGAAAAGAGTTGATAAATTAATACAATGATTTCAGTTGAAAATGCACTGAACTTTACCTCGGGCTTGAAAAAGATCAATTTCTTTGGTTAAGCAGTCAATGTCAATCTGGAGTTGTCTATTACAACTTCTCAACTGCTGCATTTCTTCGAGCTGAAAAATAATTCCGTGTGAGAAGGATCTACGTTGAATTCTCTTGTCATTAGTTAAGAAAGAGTGGAGTTTGGCAGGGGAGGGTAAGGGCAAAGAAACAAGTGTGAATTAAGAGCATTTCTAGAAAACCAGATCAACCTTTTATACTTATGACAGACTGCCTATTCTCATGTTCAAGCACAGAGGTCACAAGAGTTATAGAAAGACTTACTGAAGGTATTTGGGATATGGAATTTGATCTTTTCAGGCGCCTTCTAGTTAGATTATTTTCCATTTCATTGACCTCAGATTTTAGTTTATCCAGCTTTTTCTTTTGAATCTCAAGTTCTCTTTGAAGTCGTTCCATTCTGGCCTTCTGGTGTACCAACAGAGCTGCAACACATATTAGTAAACATGAGGACCCACCCACTTTAGTCAATTAACCTTTAAGCAGCCTTGGTAAAACAAAACAAGTAAATATTTCTGCTACAAACAAGAGCATGTCAAGATACCTTAAAACAAACTATTCTGAGTATAAATGTTTACAGTTTCAAAATTTTTAACTTGAAAATTATTTTAATTATTCAAGCAGACAAATGTTGCTACTTGTTTAAAATATTTTTTAAAAAGTGTTCAGATAAACTCACTTTATGGCTAAGGACAGTATTTTTAGTAGCCTATTACTTCTCTGAAGTAATAGGTAGTAGTCTAGTCAACTAATCTACTAACTATTATTTAATTCACATCTGACCCTCTGAAAGGATAAGAAGCCTGACGTGTTTGGATTCTGCATAAGGTATTCTAATATGGACACTTTATAGACATTTCACAAGGGAATGTGGGTTAAGCTAAATCCATTCTGATGTATGCAACAAATAAAACAGACTGATTTCAATCCACATGAATGTTAACATTAAATTGTTAATTTTTTTTTTAAGAGAGAAAGAATGCAACCATGTGAGCAGGGGTGGGGGAGGAGAGGAGGCAGAGGGAGAGAGAGAATATTAAGTAGGTTCCACACTCAGCACAGAGCCCAATGTGGGGCTCAATCGCAAGACCCCAAGATCATGACCCTAGCCGAAATCAAGCGTTGGACACTTGGGGCACCTGGGTGGCTCAGTCGTTAAGCGTCTGCCTTCGCCTCGGGTCATGATCCCCGGGTCCAGGGATCGAGCCCTGCATAGGGCTCTCTGCTCCGCGGAAGCCTGCTTCTCCCTCTCCCACTCCCCCTGCTTGTGTTCCCTCTCTCGCTGTGTCTCTCTCTGTCAAATAAATAAATAAAATCTTAAAAAAAAAAAAAAAAAGAGTTGGACACTTAACCAACTGAGCTACCCAGGCTCTCCAAATTGTGAAAAATCACAAAGTAAAAATGATACCACTTAGAGAAATCACTTATATTTTATGAAAATATTTTCCTAAGATTTGTTTTTGTTTTTTTTTAGAAAGAGAGAGAGAGCACAGGGTAGGGAGGGGCAGAGGGAGAGGGAGAGAATCTTAAGCAGGCTCCATGCTCAGCGCAGAGCATGACATGGACCTCGATCTCACGACCCTGAGGATCATGATCTGAGCTGAAATCAAGAGTTGGATGCTTAACCGACACCCAGGTGTCCTTATTTTCCTAAGATTTTTAAAGAAAGAAATTATGCAATCAATCTTGTAGCATGAATGATAAACTGCTTGGGAAACCTTATTAAGCCATAAAAATCAGTGTATGCTCTTGTGATTAATCCTTGGACAATGTAGGCCTCTTTTTTAGTATACTGAACTGGAAGTGAAGATACCTGTATCTACTTCTATAAAAAGTCAGCGTGGGATGATTTTACCATGAGAAAACAGGTGGATTTAGAAAAGTACAATTAACAACCTTTAAAAATGAAAACTAGTTATTAAAATGTAAAACTCAAGTAGATTAAACAGATTAGGTTAATGCTGAACAGTCAGATGAATCTAAAAAATAAGAAAAAGGCTATAAGAAAAAGGCTATGGCATATTAAGGTATATTTGGGCCATTCAATCTAGTAATGTATTCTAGAACCAGAATTAGGGTATGGAGTGGGAGAGGCTGTTAGGCTCAAGTACTTAAAAACTAACCTTAAATAGTAGATAATTTTTCCCAACAAAATCTGACACTGTTATAATCCATAGATGCTTCCCTCTGTAATTCTCCTTTCTTATTTATTGGAAAAAATAAATACTAGGGCATAAATTAACCTTTCTCCCATTTTAATATATATTATGTGACTGCAGAGAGGTGTTTTTGGAGATAAACATGTTCCTGGTTGAAAAATTGCTGTGTCTTTGTTACTTTCCTATCAAGCTTGTTTTGTCAAGCTTTAATCAATTTGGCTTATTTATCTGAACTGCAGTTTTATCCCTCTATTTCCAAAATATAAGAATTCTACATTAGGGTTTGTTCATTCTCCTAAAAGAAGATGAGGATGTGGGCTGTTATTTTTTGAGTGGGACACAAAGAGAAGAAAAGCTGGAGGTAGGACTGCAGTAAGAATGAAGGACAAGGCAAAGGAAGATGAAGAATAATATACTTCCCTTCATTTCTAAACTCCAAGCATCTACCAACAATGTGTCTCAAGTGGCATTACTTAGAAATTTGTTCGAATTTGTGATTTTATTTAAAAGTAGCATTTCTTAAAATTAATACTCAAGATTTTCTCCCTAATGACTAAATTCAATATTCTCTAATGACTAAATGATGGTTTATATTTATGCTGAAATTATAAAACAAGATATACATTTGTGGTACTATTCAATATTATATTATGAAGCAGGGATCAGAACAGATTTCCCGAGAAACTGAAATCCAACTTATAACACATCTGAGTGATCAAAATTTATATTGTGAGGGCAGAGAGAGAACCTCAGGGTGAGAAATTATTATGACAATTATCCCAGGCTAGTGATTTCCTTGGAGTGCCTGGCAGAAGCAAATGCAAACTGCTCTGTCACCCCACTTCCACTACCAGGGAGCTATTACTATGGGACCCATACAGAAAAAATCTCAATGAAGAGAAGCTCTCAATAGAAAAGTATGACCAAAAAAGAAAATGATCTACCATGAGAATCAGTGGCCCAGAAAGAGCCCCCCAAACTTAAACTAAAAGGTAGCTTACAGAATAGGAAAAGATATTTGCAAATGGTGTATATGATAAAGGGTTAGTATCTAAAAACTACAATGAACTTATAAAACTCAACACCCAAAAAACAAATAATTCATCCAGTTAAGAAATGGGCAGAAGACATGAATAGACATTTTTCCAAAGAAGACATCCAGATGGCTAACAGACACATGAAAAGATGCTCAACATCACTCATCATCAGGAAAATACAAATCAAACCACATTGAGATACCACCCCCACACCTGTCAGAATGGCTAAAACTAACACAGGAAACAACAGATGTTGGGGAGGATGCAAAGAAAGGGGAACCCTCTTACACTGTTGCTGGGAATGCAAACTGGTGCAGTCACTCTGGAAAACAGAATGGAAGTTCCTCAAAAAGGTAGAACTGCCCTACAATCCAGCAAATTGCACTAGTAGGTATTTACCCAAAGGATACAAAAATACAGATTCGAAGGGGGTACATGCACCCTGATGTTTAAAGCAGCATTATCAACAATAGCCAAACTATGGAAAGAACCCAAGTGTCCATTAACTATTGAATGGATAAAGAAGCTGTGGTATATATATATGTATGTGTACACACACACACACACACGGAATATTACTCAGCCATCAAAAAGAATGAAATCTTGCCTTTTGCAATGATTTGGATGGAGCTAGAGTGGATATGCTAAGCAAAGTAAGTCAGTCAGAGAAAGACAAATACCATATTTCACTTAATGTGGAATTTAGGAAACAAACAGATGAACATATGAGAGAGAAGAGGGTAGTAAAAAAGAGAGAGAAAGAGGGTAGCAAACCATAACAGACCCTTAACTACAGAGAACAAACAGAGAAAGGCTGATGGAGGGAGGTAGGTGGGGGATGGGCTAAGTGGGTGATGGGCATTAAGGAGGGCATTTGTGATGAGCACTGGGTGTTGTATGTAAGTGATGAATCACTAAATTCTACTCCTGAAGCCAATATTACACTATGTATTAAACTAATAGAATTTAAATAAAAATTCGGGAAGAAAAAAAAAAGGAAAAGTACCACAAACAACCTCTAGAAATGAAAAATAGTGAAATGAAAAAGTCAAACAGATTAAGCAGCAGATTAGACATAGTCAAAGACACAGTTAGTGACCTGGAAGATAAATCTAAGATCATTACCCAGACACATAGAGATAAAGCGACAGCAAACATGAAAGGGGTTAAAAAAATCTCACATAAATCTAAAAAGAAGTTCCAAAAGGAGACAACAGAGGCGAAGGAGGAGAGGCGAAATTCAAAGAGATGCTTGCTGAAAATTTTCCAAAACTAAAGAAATAACAGAATCCAGAAGATCATGGCATAATTTGATCTAACTAGATTATCAGAGCATGGATGAATAAATACATTTTTAGATAAAGTTTGGGGGAATCTATCAACCACAGATTGCTGCTGAAAGAACTACTAATGATGTTTTTGGTAAGAAGGAAATTAATACAAAAGGAAAGAATAGATGGATAAATCCAAATAAACTTCTAACTCTAAAACAAAGGAGAAAGACCACGGCAGTGGGTGGGGTGGCATAAATTGCTTAGAAAAAAGTACAACTAAAACATCAGAAAATAATAAGAAACTGGAAATATGAAGATCAGAGAAGCATTCTTTCTTTTTTTTTTTTTTTTAAAGATTTTATTTATTTATTTGAGAGAGAGAGAATGAGAGAGAACACATGAGAGGGGATAGGGTCAGAGGGCAAAGCAGACTCCCTGCCGAGCAGGGAGCCCGATGCGGGACTCGATCCAGGGACTCCAGGATCATGACCTGAGCCAAAGGCAGTCGCTTAACCAACTGAGCCACCCAGGCGCCCGATCAGAGAAGCATTCTAAGGTCTTAAAAGTATTTAGGAAGAATACTCTCAAATGTTGCTAAACCAAATATACATGTTAGGGGTGCCTGGCTGGCTCAGTCAGTGGGGCATGTGACTCTTGATCTTGGGGTTGTTGAGTTCAAGCCCCATGTTGGGTGTGGAGCCTACTTAAAAAAAAAAATACACACACACACACACACGTTAAATGTTTAGGAATCACTACTAGAGAAAGCTAAATAGAATGCAGTTTCTAAATTAAAAGACCAAACAAAAGGAGAAATAATAAAGATCTGATTAAACTTAGATGGCAGGAAAGGAAGAAAAAAGAAATAGAAAATAAAAAAATTATGACAAGAATAATTCCAAATATATCAGTAATCACAACTGCAATTTAGTTAAATGTATTTGTTTAGATACAA